TGTGTTATAGCTTAAAGGTTACACAACAGATGATTGCTTTTATAGAAGACTTTGACAATAAGGCAAGTCTCGTTTCGTTTGTTTATTGGTTGTACATTTGGATATGGCCCATGTATTTTGGGTTTGTTTCCCATTTAGCCACAATATTATCAAACTTAGTCATGTACGTCCAGATTTTATTGTTACTTGACTCTATATTTAATGTGTAACATAGAGATTTGACCTCTTATGAATAGCTAACTGATATATAAAGAGTACTGTTATCTTAATTTTTTGGTATAAAGGGGTTAGATTTAGAAAATGTGTAATATGTGAGGGGTGATAAATAAATTATCTAAAAGATGATGAAGTTTTCTAAAGATAGGATTGTGTTTCTAGATCCTCGACGTTGACACTATTCCAGGCGAATCTGACGCGCGTGTATAGACTTTTAGATTTGGATTATAACGATATGTAAACTTGATTAGTCTATAATTAGCCAAAACCGATTTAACTACTGTTTTGTTAACGACTTAATGTAACTAAATTTTGAATTTTCCATTTAGCTGGTACAATAGACAATAACCAGACTCGATTGAATTGACTTGGTATAGTATGTTAAGATAGCTAAAACCAAGTCAATTCTATAGAGATTAGTTATTTTAAGGAAATTGGCATGTAAATATTAAGTTTAAGAGTTATAAGGTGATTTGGATTTAGCTGACTTAAGTTACAACTTACACGTCTTGAATTCATGATGAACAAAAAATTCTTTTGTATCAATAACATACATTTTATCGAATTTGAACAAAGATGATACAAAACCGACATGCACTAACAAGTGATCAATATCAAATTATTGAGATCTTACATTAACAAATATTTAATAATTATTAAAGATGATGCTTTGAACTTAGTGTGAAATCCACCCTTTCTCATATGTATTTAGTGTGAAATCTCGCATTAACAAAAGTTGTTCCTGTGATTAGGTTATGTGCACTTGAAGACCATTAAACATACATTGAATTATCTTTTTTTTTAGTTGGATATAATAGATAATGTCTCATTGATCGTTGATAAAGAGTGCTTGGATACTTTCCTTTTCCTTATAGCGATAATGGAGACTATCATGGATAATGCATAAATTTCAAATAAGTGAATCACATTATAAAGCACACACTAGAGAAAGATCAAAGTACTACAAAGAACTCAAACATGTGATAATAATCCAAGTGGAAGGGTGCCTTTTAAATCACATGATGATATCATATGCTATATACATTGATGGTGACCAATGCATTTAACCAATGGTCTTTGTACCCCATAAATCCAACTATGTGGGACAAATAAAAACTTTTTATAATTCCTATGTCACTTTGAAAACGACTTTATAGGCTATGGTTTAAAGAAATATTAGGTCATGTTTATTCCTTTTTACCCCACTTTCTCAAACTTAATCATTCGTTGTATGGTGGGAGCATTTTAAGCTAGTATTTGATTTTCCACACACTTGAACATTTATCTTAGATGATTTATTAAAAAATGCAGACCGACTAAAATCATGAATCGTAATCAATTGTTTTCGATCTTACAAAATCTCACTTTCGATATAATTCGTTATATGGAAGAGATCATGAATAAGAATATCAAAGTGAGCTAGCCACATTGAATTTAGATACGAGTTTTATCTTGTTAAACATTTGATTTCATTCACTAACATTTAAGATATACTAGAATTGTTATGGTTTGTTTTTGACCATTGCAGACGTTTCAAATGATAAGAATATCCAGTTTTCTATAGATTTTGAGATTTACCTCATTATATATCAAAAGCAGTACGAAAGAAGCATGACAAGAAATGATAGACATGGCGAGAAAGGATAGTGATTTAAGTAATTTATGCAAATGGAGTTCGAGACTAAGTGGACCCTACTTATAATTCATGTTCAATCTAGCTAACATTTTGATTTGATATTGAAACTCTAATAAAGCCTCCTCACTCTTTGGTTTAAGATTAGTGGGTGTAATTATGATTTTCTTCATCTTCCAAAACATTTAAGAGAAATCATATTACATAAATGAAATGGGCCAGGTTTAGTTGGGCCTTAGATCTACACCTAAACGACGGCGTATCAACACCTCCTCTCCTTAAAATTTCACACACATTCCGATCTCAATTTCGCTGTACAGAAGGAAAAAAAACAAAGAGCTTTTGTTCCCTAA